CTGTTGAGCTCATTTTTTGGGGTAACAATCAGCAAAAGGCAACATCAGTGGACTATTTTATTTTCCTGTTTTATTACAGGAAATTAAGCACACAAACCAGTCCCAAACAAAGGCAAACTATAACCAAAAGCAATCTACATTGGCCAGATTCTCCAGGATCAAGACTAAATAGCGCAGCACGTATTGTTCACAATTTCAGGTCACTAGTCGTCCAAATGTGGCTTCCGAGCCAAAAAGAAATACACTGCTGTGAAAATTTCTTTCCTGAAATATGAGATAATAAGATACCGTTAGTCTTAAATTGAAAGAATTAAGGATGACCCCCTCTGTAATAATTAATAAGCAGAATGCTAATCTTACTTTCCACCAGCTACAAGTCCATCTGATGCTTTCTCCAAGAAAGCTTGAACCCTTTGACTCCCCTTTGGGGCAACTCCCACTTTTTCAAGAGCCATTACCTAGCAAAACTTAACAAATTATCTTAATTACAGAGAACAAAAATACACTGGAAAATTCAAGTTCATTGACAAAGACAGCACATTTTCACTAGGAAATTTGGCGAAGGAAATGGGACAAGGAAACCAGCTAGTGGATGTGCAGAATCTTACCGTGTACTTGGTAATAAAACGTCCAACTGCAGTTGAACGGAAATTGTTGAGTGAGAATTGACTTTTATCCAGAGGCAAGTACCATGAGAGGGGCGAGTCTACTGCAAGATCCTTCTCCGATACAACCTTTAGAAATCAAAAACAGAAAAACGAAAAATAAAAATGAAGCTCCTCATTTTAATTATATAGAATAGCCAAGATGTTGCTACTCACTTCGAAACCTGCTTGTTTAAGAGCTTCAAGGCATTGGCGTGTCAGCCTTACATCCGGGAGGCCGTTACCTAATTCAATTTCTGCCTGCATGCGTAAATTTGTTACAATTTAAAGCATTTATAGTTGATGACTTACTGTGACAGCTCCAAAGAATGCTCGAGGTGAATGAAAAGTACCTTGATCTTTCGGTGTTCTTCGTTATCTGGGTCAAAGGCATCAGTCATGCACCACTCATTTGCAGCAAAACACTGACCAGGTTTCAGTACCCTATAAATCTCCTTGTAGCACTCAACCTTACACCAGTAGAGCAAGTTAAAAAGTAAAAAGAAAAAAGATTAGAGGCAAAAGCATAACATTTTCAAGAGAAAGAGGGTGGTAATATTCTATGTAAATGACGTCTGATTATAAATTTACGCACTGCATCTGGGGCATGGCAGGTTGCGGCTATTGCATAGACTGCATCAAAACTATTATCAGGGAATGGCATCTTCATGAAATCAGCCTGCATCGTCACTAAGATATGATAAAAAAGCTATAAAGATAAGAATGCAGAATAAAATTTAAACTTGATCATAACTTCACTGACTTTGACAAAATCACAAGTCTCGTCTACTCCTGCAATGCGATTTAAAACCTGCAGAGTTCAAAGACTAATGATCAAATATTTATGGTATATGATAGCGAGGAATTGATGTAAAGGGATAAAATCTCACATCGAATAAAGATGTAAATATAAACCAACTTATAAAAGATTGGGTTACTCCTCTTAATAAGGTTGACATTTTAAGAGGGAACCTCAATTCTTAACATGGTATCGAGCCCATTGAGCTCTAAAGAGCAATTCGATCTGGTTAAAACTCCAAAAGTGAGCATACGAATTTCAAGATTGGTCTGCTCAAACGAGCCACTGGAACCCCAATTCTTAATTTGGTATCAGAGCTCATTAAGCTCTAACGAGCAATTCGATCCGATTAAGACTCCAAAAGTGAGCATACGGATTTCAAGATTGGTATGCTCGCGGGGGCATGTTAAGGGATAGAATCCCACATCGAATAAAGATGTGAACATAAACAAACTTACAAGGGATTATGTTACTTCTCTTAATAAGGTTGACCTTTTAAGATGGAACCTCAATTCTTAACAATTGACACCTCAAAGTTTGAATCAAGATTACTTTCCGTTCAAATTCAAATGGATTTTTTCTTTTTGATTTCAGCTCTAGGAGTCGTTCAAAGTGAATCTTAAACTGCAATGAATCGGGGTAATAGAATACAATCTCGCAACTTTATCCGAATTTTGCGATTTCTAAGTGCAACATCAAACTCAGACAAGAGTTATTTCCAGTGAAGATCTATGTTGTCTATCTGTCAACAAGCTAAGTTATGAATACGCACCTTTCCTCTTTCGATCTGATATTCATTATTGTTGAGTCCTGTAACTGCTGTCGAACTGCAAGACGTCAAATCAAAAGTATATCAATATGAATAAAGATCTAACAGAAATAAATAACCAACAATGCGACGAGTTAAAATTTCTGTCTTTCCTGAATCGAGCAATTTCTCTTAATGGTCCACCAATTCCACATCCTACATCCAGGACCTTAAGAGACAGCAGAAAAACCGTACATTGATTAGGAAGTCCACGTTGATAAGCTCAAGATAAAAATCGTTAGAACAAAACCTTCTGTCCAGGTTTGAGGCCAAGTTGTAAGGCAAGGAAGT